CTATCAACCAACACCGAGATCGGAATTTTCAATGCAAATGTCAAGACAATTCTACTGTATGGGGCGGAAACCTAGATAACTACGAAAGCCATCATCCAGAAGATACAAGTGTTTATTAATAGTAATTGGTCACCTAAACAGATGGAACACAGACGATCATCTAATTCTGTATTTCAATAGAAATAATTGACTTGTGTGTGCGAAAACAAATAATTCTGTAAGATTTAGGTAGATTTATAATTTCACTATGTCAAGCTGTCATAACCATAGTTTCAACAAATTATACAACTGTTTCGATTTAAATGGTTTATTAGGTAATATCAATATAATTTCAAGGTTGTGTTCTTCACGATACAGTTGCTAACCACATGCACAACCCTCGTCCTTTATCCAGGGGGTTATTTTTATATTATCCCACCAACACCATATTGGAACATGACTTAAATGCCAAATTATTTCCCAGATGTATAAATGAGATAAAAATAAAATACATTTAAAACTTTCAGTGGTTAAGATGATGAGTCAGTTGAAGCTAGACAAACACCATGGAAAACCTGGAAGCACTGCATGGCCATTTCGTCCTCCTGTGGGACTCCTTAGAAGTGCGCACCATGACCTCGCCCCCCCCTCAGCGAGATTGGAACTCAGGACCTACTGGTTTCGCGCGTGAGCACTTAACCACTAGACCACTGAGCCGGCTGGCATCCAACAGTGTTAATGTCTAACTTCAACTAATTCACGAAATTGAGTGAAACATCCACCATTGTCTTCAGTGAGTTACTATCTCACAACAGACCTGGTTGAACTCCACTGGTCACTACTTCTCGCTAGAACTCGAGGATATACCTCTTGAAGCTAGTCGCTAGTGAGCATATGTTGATTACTATCAGAAGGGGTTTTGTGGAGATTGTAGTGATTTCAATGGTTAAGTTCATGAGTCAGTTGAAGCTAGACCAACACCATGGAAAACCTGGAAGCACTGGACGGTCATTTCGTCCTATTATGGGACTCCTCAGAAGTGCGCATCCACGACCTCGCCCCCTACGAGATTCGTTTAAAACTGTTCAATAGTCAACTATAGCATAAATGAACTGAATTATGTATTATACCAAAATCCTACAATACAATAATAGAATATTAATAGTGAATACACTGTACATACTAATGAATCGGACGAAATTTTTAAAAAAAGTTCACTCGTAATAAACGCAATTTTATCATCATTATAATTTACCCGAAAATAAAGTGACCTAATCAATAACAAGTGAAAATTACCCTTATGTTACAACATCAATTGCATTATGTAATCTAATGATGTACTGATTTATGTAATATGTGAATATAATTGTATTCATATAGGTCAACTATTTAACCTTAAATAGGTTACTCTGTCTAGGAAACTAACTTATCACATATAAAACAATACACATTATTAGATAGTTATACTCGATCTTTTCTCTGCTATATGTGATACACATTGATTAGAAAAGTTAGATAGTTCTATAGAATGACCGGACTATTGTGATGAATACATTGGGTGAAAACACTTGAACCGAAGTATCAAACAATTTTGTTGAAGGGACCTTAAATAAGGTCGTGTTGTGTTCTTATTGAATGGTTGTTGATATCTACTATGAATAGTATTATTATGTGTAGTGTCCACTTACAGAATCCATGACTACATATCACAACCGTAACACTTCACATATACAGGAGGTCGCCCTTAGTGGTCCTCACAGGGCAGACAAGATGATTGGATGCTCTGAATCACGAACATCTGACACATTCACAAGGACTATTTCCAACTCTTGGCAGTTGTAATAAACAACACTCAATATTAATTATCAAAATCTTCATTGTCACATTCCTCACTAGACACAGGGAAATCATTGGTCACTGGTATATCTGAGTTCGCTTAAGCCCTGTCATCACTGGATATAGTGACATCCTGATCTATATTTTGAATCTACGGGATATCGGAGCATCACATACAGACCTTCCTATATATGTCACTCCACCAACGATCGAAGAAATCAGGATGGTCGTCAGACAAATATACCAGCTGAAGCACTGAAATCAGACATAGAAATAACTGAAACCATGCTCCACGTTCTATTCAGGAAGCTTTCGGAGGAAGAATAACTGCCACCGACAGACTGAAGAGTAGGACAGCTCATCAAGATATTGATGGAAGGAGACCTGAGCAAATGTGAAAAATACAGTGGTATCACATTACTGCCAGTGTCAGCAAAGGTTTTCTACAGAGTATTATTGAACCAGATAAAACATTCAGCGGACGTCCAACTTCGAGATCATCAGGCTGAATTTAGCATGGATCGGTAGTACACAGGCCAAATCCCGATACTACGGATCACCGTTGGACAATCGATTGAATGGAGTTCGTCATTATACATCAGCCTCCTTGACTATGAGAAAGCATTTGACAGTGTGGATAGGAGAACATTATGGAGGCTTCTACAGCACTATGGTGTGCGTGAGAAAGTCGTCAACATCATACGAATTTATACGACGGACTACAGTAAAAAGCGGTGCATGGACGACAACTGACAGACGCATTACAAGTTGTAGTGTCGGTTACTGTGTTAAACTCATATAAATTATTCTAGCTTCTGGATAGGCCAATTTATTCATTCTGCTTGAGTCACGTTTTAATCTTGTTAATTATTCACCTATCAAACTTGACTGAGCGTATGTGTGCGTACATCTTATCTTACTCATCACATGTCTGTAGCTTATTTTTGTGTGACTATAAATATAGGTTAATGCTTGATTAAATGAAATTGGCTCACACGCCTTCATCACTTCGCGTCATTCGGCTTCGCTCTCTTCGCTTCATCACTCTCATTTCTTGTCCAGATCAGTGAGTGTACAAAATATGTGTATCCAAAAATTCACTCTCATATCCGATTTATTCAATCCCGTTATTTACCAACGCGATTTAATTCTATTAAATATACGAGGATCGGCCGTATGTATATTATCAGTAACAATCAAACATATGACACAATTGGAGTCAGATCACGGGCCACTAAAAAGTGAGATCTGGAGTCAGACAAGGCTGCCTACTTTCATCCTTCCCCTTTCTTCTGGTGGTTGACTGGATTATAAAGACCTCGAAATTCGAGGGGAAGAACGGAATACAATGGTACAGTCAGCTGCAACTGTACGATTTGGGCTTCTCAGACGACCTGGCCGTTTTATCCCATACACGTCAACAAATGCATGTCAAGACGAACAGTGTAGCAGTAGCTTCTGCATCAGCAGACCTCAGCATACACAAGGAAAAAAGCGAGATCCTCAAATACAACCCAGCGAACACCAACACAATCACACACGATGGAAAAGCCCTAGAAGATGTGGAAACATCCTCTTACCTGGATAGCATCATGGATGAACAAAGAGGATCGTATTCAGACGTAAGGGAAAAGATTGGCGAAGCAAGGGCGGCATTCATATAGTCGAAGAACACATAGAACCCCAAACAACTGTATGCAAACCAACATCGAGGTCAGAATCTTCAATACGAACGTCGAGACAGTGTTTTTGGAGAACTATCACAAACATCAAAACGATGAAAGCTTTTCTAAACAATTGTCTACGTAAGAAACTCAGTATTCGTTGACCGTACACCATCAGGAACAACCTACTGTGGGAGAGAACAAACCGACTTCCAGCTGAAGAGGAAGTTAGGAAAAGACTCTGGAAGTGCAAAGGATAATCAGTGAGAGAATCATCAAACTGCATCACGAGGCAAGCATGGAATCCTGAACGGAAACGGAAAAGAGGAAGACCACGTAACACACTGCGCTGAGAATCGGTAGCAGACATGAAAAGGATTCATAACAACTGGAAAGATTAATTTAGATGATGATTTTTAAACTAATAATAAAATCTTTGAAATTGTGGAGTGATTTAACTTATGCCAACGTCAGTGATCTAGAGGTTAATTATTCGCGCGCAAGACGCATCTTCGATACGATTGTCTAATGGAGGATATGGATTCAAACTGCTGATTAGCCCTATACTATGAGGAATTGGAAGTTCAGTATTTCCAAGATTTCAACAGTTACCAAACTCAGATTAGTTAAGCATTTCAATGGAATTCAACAATATCCGCGACCTCATACTTATAATAGCAATAAGAAATAATAATGATAATCCAGTCAGATGTGAATAAAAAATGTAATTGAGGTACGACATTCATGTGAATGGCGAAAAACCGATATAGGTAAACATAACAGCAGACTGATTAAGCGATAAGAGACTATTAAATAGTTTACGTATAGGATTGTCCACTGTTGAGTGAAGGCAACCAGACAGTTTGAATATTTCTCTTTTGGATACATAAATTCGCTTTGTACAACGGTTAATCTGGATGGCTTCCGCTATGTAGGCTTTATTTTGATAATCATAACACTATAATCATACATTTAATAAACTGTAAAGATGAATGTCGAAGTCATTGAAAACGGTACATTTCCTCAAACATTATTTGCTCATGAATCCATTATGATTTATTGTATAGGAACAATGATTAAATCCTATGGTGATTAGTCATTTCCTCACATTCACTCATTATATTCATGTACAAACTTTTAGTCAATCAATTCATCATTTCACCTATAGTTGTATTAGCCAAATAACTGGATCTCTATGATTATTTTATCATTAAAGTTGAAAGTCAATATAGAAGATCATTCATCAAGAACTATGAACATTTTCAAAAGTTAAAGTATGCTGTAATAGTTAATAATCTAATCATAAATTGAACTTTTAATCCAAATAAAAATTCACATGCTACTTAATGTGTTTAGTACGTGTTGTATAATGTCACATAATTGATCTGCTTTACATCTATTCATAATTGATGTAATTACATTTAGATAATGGTTAATCTTGTTAGAGCAATGATTGGTTAATATATATGTAATACCTCGTTTATAATGATTCGTTTTACTGACATTTTATATAAAAAGTGTGTCAAACTACTAGATACGTGTGTTACAAAGCTTATTCATTTGAAGTAAGTTATTAATGGTCTATTGTTTCGTCATGTTGTTTACATTCGATTGGCATATATTGTACATTTAATACTATTTGAATGACATCTCCTGTTGGAACACTAGCACTTGTACATTAATGAATCCAGAACAACAAATGAGGTAGAATAAAATGAGTTCGTTACATTTTGTAGTTTCTCATCAACTGCCTTATAATCATATCTCTATTGAAATGTAACGTTACGGTGAGATATTATATGGAACAATCGACATTGATGATGGAAAGAATTAGAATACCATAAGTCGATCTAAGTTAAACCACCACTGAAAACGTAAATGCATCGGATGACCATTTCGTACTACTATGGAATACCTCAGTAGTGAGCATTCACAATGCTGCACTCTGTACTTGAACCCAATATCTTAGGTCTCTCACGCGAACGCATAACCTCCAGACCACTGAGCCAGCATCCAACAACGTTAGTGTCTAGATTCAATCGATCTATGATCGATTGTGTGAAGTGGATAACTGTCTCACAATCGACATTCATTGTACTCCACTGATCGCATCTTTTCACTAGAACTCCAGGAAATTCAAATCGAGCTATTCATTAGTGAGTACACGATTGTAATCAAAAAGCGGATTCGTGAAGATTGCATCAACGTTTACTGTGACCAATTGTGATATCATTTCTACAAATTGAATAATAACAGAAAACGCTTTTATGATTTATTTAAGTGGAAGATACAAAGGAATTGAAAACGAGTAATTCAACCAATTATTAATTTTCACAGTTGAATTCATAAGTCGATGTAATGTAGATCACCATCGCTAACCTGGATGAAGTGGAAAAAATTTTCGTCCCAGTATGGGACTCCTCAACAGTGCACATCCACTAAAAATATAATCATAATATGAACAGTAACGAAAAATAGTAATTCACGTAATATATTACATTAATGCTACATTTCAATATATATGTGGTTGTCAGCAGCTGATGAGAAACCACATAATATGACGAAACCGTTTTATTCTGCTTCAATTTTTTTGGCTTGAATAACTTAAACAGATTAGCCCTTGATTAATTATAACGAACAACTCTTATATTGGGTAGAGTTCAATGGAGTTGATGTTACTGAATGTAAATTAAAATAATACAAACGAACACACGTGTAATAAGAAGACGGAGATTATCAGAACTATGTGTATCCAACCACGAGCAGTGGAGAACAGTCTTGTGAATTCATGTAACACGTAATGTATATTATTTGATGGAATATGCCTAGCAATTCAATTTAGGACACGTGTTTCATTCATATTGGTACTCGTCAGTTGGATATACCTGTATTTCAGTGTCGATGTTCTCTTTGCAATTTGTACCCAATATCCTTTGCTTCAAACTTCGTCACGTTGTCCAAGTTATCTACTCAGTCCAAACAGCCACTCATTTGTGCAACATGTATGAGATTCAGTTCAATTTAAAATTATTTGAATTATCCCACAGTTGAAAATTGTTCAGTCTTGATTGGCAGATGAGTAATCTGTGAGGACTGCCCCGAAATAGACATGATCCCATAACTTCATATAAAACAGATCGAATGTGGTTAGTGGTGGAATCCAGGAGCTACTTTTTGACCTGTTTTGTATGTCAGTACATTCAACTAAGAATGATCAAACTTAAGTTAAAACATCAACAACAGGATTATGCGATCCATTACCATCTAAATGTGAACATCGAAAGGATACAACTTTAAAAACGATACATTATAAAGTGGACATAGTAGATCTATTGAATTTTCAGGTAGTAATTTCATTCGTCAATTTCTCAAGTAGATCACTGATCATTCAGAAGCGTTGAATTTGTTTATCATATAAGTGTTAAAACATCTCTTTATTTATATATTTCTATGTTATACAATTACAAATAAATGATAGTGTAGATCATCAGCGTGGATGATCTATGTCGAAATGATTGGAGGCTTACTCGAGGTAGACGTGAGTGGTGTGACAAACTAGCTAACGTCGAAGTCACACTTCGCGGTCTGCACCTTACGTGGATCACCCCATTGACGTATCAAGGTACTACAGATGCTTTGAAGACTGTACAACACAGAGGACGTTATTACAGAAATATATTAATTAAAGTAGATACAAGCCAAGGTAAGACCACTGCCGCATGGGCCAATCCATGGCGTACGATTAAAACTGACACGCATTGGCTGTCCTTGACCTCGACGAGGATTGATGATTTGTTCGATATTCAATGACCCAACTACCGCATGATTTGGCTAGGGCTCAGTGGAATTTCGCTGGCCCTACAATAGTAATCTATTCATCTTTTAAACAACTAGCTTATATGAAATTGATTATTTTAAAACAATCCGGAAACTAGTTAGTTAGTTGAACTAACAACCTGAAAATTAATTATTGACGAGTTTTATACATATTCCATGTCATCGAGTAGTATGGTGTTTGGTTACCAATGATATTGCCTTTCATGATTACTGCCTTTCATTTAAAATGTACACAACGCCAACTAATGTCTTCACTTCACATCGTAGTGTGAAGTGAATATAAAAAGATTTTCTCGAAATTACATAAATCTCACAATTTAAAACCTCCTCTTCCCCGCATTCATTTATTCATCATCATATGTGTTGCTCAATTTTCTGTGTACGAATCCCGTGTGTGTGAAATCATGAGTGTGCACTGCTGAAATGTTTCATACTTGAACGAAACAGTTGTCCAATGGATCTAGGTTTGTGATGGTAGTCTACATTAGATCAACTTATGAATTCAACTGTGAAAATTAATAATTCCTTTATATCCTCTGCTTAGATAAATCATTAAAGTGTTTTCTGTTATTATTTAACTTATAGAAATGATATCACAATTGGTCACAATGAACGTTACTCTAGTTCTTTTATGCATATTCAATATGATGAAGCTTGAAGCATACACATATTTAGCACCAATAAAATTTGATGATTCTGGTAAGTGTTTTATTTGTAATAAACTATCAAACTAAATGTAAAGGTTTATCCAATTTATGAAGGTATAAGTAACATCAGCAAGGTTTGATTTGATCATTTCAAATGAATTAAACATGAAGTTACTTATACCTATTACCCCTTCGTGGAGGAGCGAGTATAGGTCACCCATTAGTCTTAGCCATCGAACTCTATTGAGTATTAGATAGATTGTTATAAATAAAAATAATAAATTTGTAGATATTCAAATGAGTAGAAGGATTAAATGTTTAAATTTTCGGATGTTTCAAGACTCGATGGAAGTTAATTCGTTAGAGAATAAATAATACCTGATAGTACATGTAAATGTAAAGTGTTAGTAACTATGTTGACAGGTTTTAATGATTTTCATGCTGATCATCTAATTGTTACCATCAAAAAGTTCGAAACAAAGTTGTAAACTTCCATATTAATTCGGATTATCTTCATTGTTTATATTAGCTAAATGGAGATATCAAATATATTGTAATAACTCTTAATCATAGTTTCACTGTTTTATGAACAACAATGCATTACATCATGAAGTGGAGATGTAGTTCTAAGTTATTGTTCATAAACTCTAACCAACGGTAATCAATATTTATCTTCATGGATCAAGGATCATGAAAGCTATGGTGTCTAGTACCATGTGAAACATACATAGATTAGTCTAGCTTCCCAACAGAAAGATTTATTCGTTCTGCTTGAGTTACATTTTGACCTTGTCAATTATTTGTTTATAAACCGTGACTGCTTTTATATGAGAGTATTAGTGGGTAACGACAGAAATATCAATATTCGGTTTGAACGTAGAACTAACGAACCAAAATTTAATCGATTAGGCCAGACTATGTTCTTCTGAATTGTACATGAAGCGCTTTTGTGTCACTCGTATTAAAGCATATTAAAACACAATTTCTGTTCAATTTAAACGGTTCTCAAACGGTACAGCCTAGGTTATACAATCAGGAGTTTCTCTAGCACAAAGCAACTCACTGAGAATCAATAAAAATATTGCTAACAAGACGGGATCAGATATCTATCTGCATGGATTCCAGCAACCTTTCCAAGATAACAATCAAAGGTCAACTCGACTTTTGTGATATTGTAAAGAAGTGTAAAAGGGTGTATACTAAAGTTTATTGAATTCTTAGTCATACAAAATCTCAAACCCCCTTTGTATATTCAGAAATAGTTTATTCTCACCTTAAACCTACATTGGTATTATTAGCTTATTATCCAAAGTAATGAGGATTCAAATTGTTTTCACATTATTATTACTCTTATTATTATCCTTGTCTCCTCTTATCCTCCATTTCTAATCTAGTTGACCTTCTACTTCTTATATATAAATGTCCTTAACAAGTATATTATGAGTGATCAGATTGTTCGACATGAATTGCGCTAATATATCACATTCTTCTGATAATCTTCGTCTTCTCACCATACTATCGAAATTCATCAAACGGGGCTAATTGCATGAAATTATTGTTTTTAAAATGATAATTATTGGTTACTGATTTCTGAAAGGTGATATAAAGTGTAAATATTCGTCGGCTGATCACCTTTTCCCCAAACTATGAACGTAATTAAATTACAAAGTACGAGGTATATTATTTTGAATGCTGTCAGGGACAATAAGAACATGTTTCTGAATACGCTGTATCTGGTATCGTTCCAATAACAACAATGTTCCTTAAAACATGAGCACACATTTTCAAAAACCAGTTAAACAATCACTTTCAAACTCTTTTTAATCACACCAAGGAAATCTTCATTGTTGGAGGTTAGAAATCACAGTAAACGTGCAGTAAATGTCAGGCAGACCTACTGACCCACCAACGATAGCGGAGGGGACCATAAAGATCAGTTTTACAATAGGTTGCAAACTATCGTAGGAAAGTGTCCTGGAAAAAACTTGATCATACTGACGAGGGACTGGATAACCGAGGCCAGAATAGACGTCACTATGTATGAGAACATCATAGGACGACATGAACACAAAGAGAGAACTGAGAATAGTGAGTGACACGTTGATCATTGTGATGCAACGACATAATTATCGGTAGCAGGATTTTCCCTCTAAATACAAACACAAAGCTATATGGATTTTACCGGAACACATCACAAAGCACATGATCAATCATGTCTGGATTATGAAATATTGAGAATATCAACTGAAGACTAAGGAACATAAAGAAGAACTAATATAGCTTCAGATCACTATTTACTGTCGGCCAAGCTAGATAAACAGTAGATAATTTAATCAACATCTCTGCAAACGTTTAATACACCATTCCTTCGAGATGTTGACAAGCCCTGAGAATCCAACATTGTTCTCATCAACAAGTTTCAGATCCTAAATAACCTATGAAAAGGACAGGAGACAATTATCAAGAACGACTGCATTTGGGTTAAGAAAGCTATAACTTCAACATACTGAGAGGTACTGGGCTAATGTAATTCTTTTCAGTTGTACAGAGTACCTGAGACAGATGTTAGCATCGTATGGAACTCCTATCAGGAATCGCAATGCAAATCATGCATGGAAGGCAGCTCAAAGATGCGTTGAAAGTAAGGACCACTACAAGACAATGTTCCTTACTCTCATCGTTTCCCTTTATTTCCGTTGTCGACTAGATTGTGAAGACCTTCACATCTCAGAAGAATCACGGGATACAAAGGAAAGTTAGACGCGTCTGCATAATCTCGACTTTGCAGACGACTTAGCATTGATATTACACGCACAGTATCAAATACAAGTGAAGATAACTAATGTGGCGGAAACTCCTGAAACAGTATTTTCTAACTTTCCCGCGAAAAAGAAGAAATCGTGAAACGCGACACGGTAATCAGCAACCATATCACACTTGATGGAGAAGTTATGGGAGATGTGAAAGCTTTTACGCACCTATGCAGATGTGGAGTTACGAATTGCGAAAGCGAGGTCAGAATCCCTACAGTTTAATCATAACTGAAAATCAAAGGTCTTCCAAACCATTTAGCAACCATAAATGTTAAAACAACACACTTGTACGGAGATGAAGGTTGAGGACGATCAAAACGATCGTCAAAGAAGTATAGGTATATATAGGCGGCTGTCTGAGGAAGGTACTCCATATCTACTGGCCACAAACCAACCTAACATGTAAGAGAACAAACCAGCTGTCAGTTGAGGGAATTAGAGAATAACGCTGTAGGTCGATTGGACACACTGGAGAAACGAGTAATCTTGATCACAAAGTAGGCCTTAACTTGAAGTTCTCAAGGCAAAATGAGAAGAGACATACCACAGAATGTAAGGAGACAGGAACTGGAGGCAGCCACTAAGAGCATGAATAGGATTCCAGAAAAACTGTAAAGGAGAGCCAAGTTCAGGGTTATCCGGAGATTCCTGATCAGTGGCTTATTTTGCACGAAGAGTAACACGTTCAAATAAGCAAGTAAGTTCTTCTGCCGATAGTAAGCATTACAGTATGACCCATAAACACTATTTAAAATTGTCCGTTAGGAAATATTGATAGACTGATTCTAGAATCTCAAAACTTACATAATATTGTCCAGCCACTTGGAAAATTATCTAGAAACGATTTTTTAGTTTCCTTCAGTGCATATATTTAAACCCAGTTTACCTAATTTTATTCGTCCTTTATCCGAACTCTGATGTCAACTAACACGTTGCTATTGTGTATATGATAATTTCTCTATTTAGGGGAAATGTACATTAGTTTGGGCAATGTGAATATTTCGTTCAGCTCAGATTATGAATTAACAATAAGTGATAGAGACTGTACAAAAACACTTAATTTAAAGCCACCAACCGAAGAAGAGAACCTTTTTAAACGTGGATACCGTCCAGGATCTTCGTAAGTTTAAAACATGATACAAATTGAGTTGATAGTTGATTGTTTCTTAATCACATCAGCATCATTATCTTGATCGGTAAACAAAAAGACCATAAGGTAGATCGGTCGGATTTTCATTTCATAAAACACTGTCGTATACAATTCGTATTTTATTGAGAATATGAGCAAGAAAACTAATGTTGACAGAAGATCAATAAGGTTCCTCATTGTCAAACGGCTTCTCATGATCAAGGAAGTCAATGTATAGTGAAGAACTTCACTCAAGTGATTGTTCAACGATGGTCCGTACGGAATCAGGTCTGTTGATCTCGAAGTTGGTAGTCTGCTGAATGTTTCATCTAGTTCAATAATACTTTGTAGAAAGCCTTTAATGATACTGGCAGTAGTGTGATACCTCTGTAGTTCTCACATTTGCTTAGAACTCCTTCCATCAATATCTTGATGAACTGTCCTACTTTTCAGTCTGTCGATGGCAGTTATTCTTCCTCCGAAATCTTCCTGAATAAAACGTGGATCATGTTTGCAGTTACCTCTATGTCTGATTTCAGTGCTTCAGCTGGTATATTGTCAGAGATTGCTGCTTTCCCACTCTCGATTTGTCTGACAGCCACCCTGATTTCTTCGATCGTTGGTGGAGTGACATCTAGTGGAATGTCTGTGTGTGATGCTTCGATGTCTGGTGGCTTCAATGGAGCTGGCCTATTCAAGATTTCATAAGTGTACTACCCACCTATTCTTCTGTTCTTCAATCTCAGTGGTTGACTTGCCTTCTTCGATCTTGACTGGTCGCTCTGGTTTACTATATTTCCATCACTTCTTCCACACTGATCCCAATGCTCCAAACTGATTGTATCAATGAAATAATCTAGTTTCAAGTTCGAGCTAGTAGCTCGTTTGTTTGAATTTAATCGTCTGTCACTGGTGTGGTTTACATGTCAGCCATTAGGAAACTGACGCTCAACTCTCTTCGCCTTGAGTTTATAATCTCGCCTTCTTCTTCTTCGTGAATATATGCTATCGAATGAAGTCCGAATCTTCCTTCCGAACATTGGCTCAGCATGGGAGACACCCTTATGTGAGGCTGGATTCACGGTTATTACTGGTGAACTTCTCGGTCGTGTCCTTCTCTTCTGATAATCTTGAAAATCATTAGAAATTTTCTGTCTCCATTTGTGCATCATATGAATGAGGATAGGATGATACTTAGTTACAAATAAGATTGGATGACTGATCGAGCATTTCTGAATCAGGATTACAAATAAAATTCAGTGGATATTCGAAGATTTTGAATTCTGTGATGCAGTCAAGATCCAATAGATCGAAGTATTCATCAGTAACACAGCATTTGGATTTGGTTGTTAGGATAGTGAATTTGACTGTATATTTAATAATTTCATAAATCTTGATTACGATACCCGGTGCATTGTTTGTGCAATCGTTATTAAGATGAATGCTTAGCCGGCCAAGCTCGTTTTTAAGTTTTGCGGGAAATCATCATCATCGGATGCAGTGTCCAATTGTAATGTGATAATACGGTCACTACGATAAATCAATAAATACTTGCGTTAGCATTGGGGGTTAGATTTTGACAAAACATGAACACAACTGATCGTTTTTGGCATTCGACGATGGGATGAAAGCTTGCTGCGTTTGCGAAATCTCCACATTTTGAGCGTTTATGTTCATCGCATGGGCAGGAATGGGAGAAATGTCATGCACCACAGTCCCAACAAATAGCGGAAGGCCTTGTAGAGTGACGTGAATTCAAGTCATGAACATCATACATTCAATTCGGGCAAGGAACATTTTGGGAATCATGCTTTGAAGCATTAATTATGCAATCTGAGTGAGAAATTTTCATCAAATCAAGTTAATTTGGATTTGAACATTCGATCATTTGAGTAGCATTTTTAAGATTAACAACATGAGAACGTTCATTTGTGACTTAGTATTCAGATCCGACTCGACTTTACTTAGAATTGTAGTACGAATGTTTGAGTCCGACGATGATTTCAACCGTCATGTAAAGACAAGACACTTAAATTGTTTGTCAGAAAGTGAACACAAATTGATACTCTCTCATTGTTCATTAACAAATGTTACATATGAAACCAAATCATCTCCAGGTCTTCTGGCAGGTCTGATTGCCATCGATTGACCTTTCGTTACTTTTGATCGGCTCTCCATATCAGTCACGATTATTATTCAACATGTGTCATTATTTTTAGACGCTACTCTTCTGTTTCCCCCATCGAATTGTGCTTTGAACAAAAAGAATACTTTGATTACGTTCTCTGTCAAAATATACAGACATTAGATATAATAGTCGATATCATTTTAATGATACAAGTGGTCATCTACAAATCGTATTATGATACATAAGGCTCTATAATAGTAAGATAACAGATCATTTGTTGAAAGTTTCGAGATACTTAGGGGAAACTTTTCACTATATGGTCGGTCACAATGCTTAACCTCTATGTATATACATCCCGTTAGCACAAGGAGATTAAGTTGTCAGGCCGAATCCCACAATAGTAGAGGTAGTAACAGTATCAGTGCTAATAGGAAAGATTAGGCACCAAAAATATGACTGCAAAGGAAAATATCAACCAATGAAATAAACACACAAAAACAAGGTGTGAGAAATTTAATATCTCAGAATTTGAGGAAACACTATGAGTGGAAGGACATGTGCAATTGCAAACGATTTTCAGCCATGTCATTCAAAGTCTCTTACCATTGGTTGCGATAACCATGTGGAGTTTAACCAGTTAGTCTACACTTATTAATATGACGAAGTCCAAATGTCAATGGCATGATGGGCCGATGTGAAGTCTTGGTTCTGAATTCCTTCCAGCCTACTCTTACACCAGAAAACATCCCTCATCGAGGTAGGCGGTGGTTGGGCATGCGTAAGACATGTCCAACCATCTCAGTTGATGAAGATTTACTGACTCACCAATCGAATTCCCATCTTTACCTAGTACTCCATTCCTAACTCAGAGATTGTATACTCTGTGGTCAAAATATACACAAGCAATCCTTAGTAGAGACCCAGAACCGGATACCAGAAATCTACGAATATCCACTACTCCTAATGACCATATTTCACCACATAATTATCAGATGAACAAAAAGTACATTCTTAATGAAAAAACTAATGCTTTAATGTATAAACCTCAGACCTCTACAGCGATTACCACTCCAAACTTTTATTTTCTCATATCATTTTAGCTTATGCAAAAGCTGGTTCCTTCTGAAACGACCTCACAAAAAGAGAAGAACTAAATGTTTATTATCTGATTTACTCTTTTAATTACAATTTCCATAATAAACACTTTTTAATAAATTGTAGTGTTTAACACTATTTGCTTTGCTTTCGAATTTTCTTAGTCATTCGTTGTCAATCGAAAATCGGTGTTTAACAGATGTGATTAAGTAACTGTTGGCTAAAACAAATCTCGGTTCTGACCATATTTCAAGTAAAATTAATAATATCTTCGATTTTTTCGTGTAGTATGTGTGTTCTAAGGGTTTTGCCATCCGACTTCAGTGGCATAACCATAGGAGTGTGTCCTGTCTTACCACATTTAAAACATTTAGCATTGTGAAATGCACATGAATTACGAGAATGAAATTTGTCACAGGATAAACATTTACCAAACTTGATCACACCTTTGTGATTTACTTTGTAATCCCTTGTTGGAACACTCTTCATATTTACAGGAGAATAGCAATCATTATTAAACGAACGTAAGTTTGATTAACCCTGAGATTGTATTTCATCATGACTGATAGCTTTCTGGTAATCCTTAAATGTCTTCATCTTACTGTTAATTATGAGTCATGACTTGATCTTTAGTTTCCAATCGGTAGTTGTTTTGGTGTAAATCTATTGATACAGTCATTTGCAACCTTAGAAATTTCAGTAAACAGTGTTCATTCCATAAGAAATATTGTAGATAATTGTTATCAAGACTGTAAGGGATCCAAGAGAACATTTCTTTAATAATACTAAATAGTTTCTATGATTTCATGGTGAATTTCATGAAGATGCGTAGGATGAAAGTTGATAGTTATATCTAGTTATGTTATGATTCTTATTTCCCTAGCCTCATCAGAAGACAATCTTTTCTTAGTGGCCAGAGATCTGACTCTAATTAGATCGTATGAATGATTGTTATTGAAATGTACATGTCGGCTATCCTCGTATATAATTATTGGTTGAAATTCATTGAAGCTAGACCACCATGGGAAACTTGGAAGCACTGGACGGCCGTTTCGTCCTAGTACGGGACTCCCCAGCAGTGCGCATCCACGATCACGCTCCTCGCGAGACCCGAACCTATGGCCTATCAGTCTCGCGCCAGGCGCTTAACTAACTAGACCACTGAGTCGGCCGGCATCCAACGGTGTTAATCTCTAACTTCAACCAATCCACGGAACGGCCGTCCAGTGCTTCCAGGTTTTCCATGGTGGACTAGCTTCAATGGATTCATGATTTCAACCAGTGAAATTTCTAAAATCTCCACACAATCTCTTCTGATAATATAATTATTGACTTAATCCGAGTCAGTAAATAACGGAATGAAATAAGTGAAATACGAGTAAGGATTTCGAATACCTATTATTTTATACAATCATTGATCTAAGCAAACAATCAAAAGAACAAAGCGAAAGCAAATGATGCACAGCGAATGGAGCGAATCCAAATGACACGCAGTGGTGAAAGAGTGTGAGCCAACTTTATTTAATCAAGCATTAACCTATATTTATAGTCACACAAAAATAAGCTACAGACATGTGTTGAGTACGATAAGATGTACGCACACAAACGCTCAGTCAAGTTTGACAAGTGAATAATTAACAAGGTTAAAACGTAACTCAAGAAGAATGAATAAATTGGACTATCCAGAAGCTAGAATTATTTATATGAGTTTAACATAGTAACCGACGCTATAACTTTCGAAAATGATTATAACCACATCGACATTTCATTACTGAATTTATAAAAACGAATGGTCTAATAGTACAACACCACAAAAGTCGAGTTAAGATCAATCTTATGCCCTGTTTCAATTATATGTTTAACAATAGAGGATGATGGATGTTTACTCTGGACTCTTATTAGGTCATTTGATTTTATTTGTTTCTGCAACCATTTTGGTACATGTTCACACACCCTAATTTTGAGATCACGATTGTTCCTCCCTATGTATGTGTGACCACACACACATTTAAGTTGGTAAACACAGTGGGATGTGATACAATCGTTTTCATGTCTTTTAAGTTTTTGATGAAGCATGGACCATGTTCTTTCCTTGATAATGACGTTTGCTGCCTAATACGTCTTGTTAATGACTGATTTAAGCTTTCGTTTCAATAAAAGGCTATTTGAATCACCTCTGAATGGTTAGGTGATATAGACAGGCTTTTTTTTCTGTCAATGCTATAGTTGGTCTCACTACACCATGAACGTTCCATCTATTTATGTTTTGTTTAACAACCTAACATCATCATCAAGCGTCATTTGTGCAAATACGACCTTATCTAACCCCGTTTGTATTGAACAGGGCAATAACTGTCATAACTAAACTATTGATCTGTTCATGTTGATTTTCTAAAAATGGATCGTTTGATTGAGCCATCTTCTTGTCTACTTAGAAGTATATCTAGGAAGGGAAGCTGGTCGTTCTTCTCCTCTTCGCATGAAAGACTGATGTGGTTTTGGAGAGTGTTAAGTTTATTTAATAAATAGTTCATATTCTCTTTTCCTTCACAAACAACTAAGATATTGTCCATCTATCTTTTATAGAGTAACATGTTTTCGATTAGGTCTTCAGCCAGATTTTCAATATGTGCGATAAACACATCTGCTAACAATAGCCCTAACGAACTAGCCATAGCAACGCCATCGATCTAACGAAAGTATTCATCTTTGGACTTTGTCAGTACATAATAGTAGTATATCTTTAAGAATTTTTTGAAGAAACAGGTAATTTAAGATTGTTCAAAGATATGTACTCACATAATATATAAATAGTCGTTTTTAAAGGTACATTTGTGAACCAAGAATTCACGTCAATTGAACACATTCTCTCCCCCCCCCCTCTCCCCCCCCCTCTCTCTCTCTCTTGATATCAATATCACATGTATTATTGAGTAATTTTGTTAGTTTTTCATAAATATTATTTCACTGTCCTTAACCCACTACCATTTAAGAAACATTGATTTAAGTTGTTATTATCACTATCACAGCTAGTACATCTGTCATTCAATTATCGATGTACACTTTTTCACTTATGATGTCTGTTTATATAATCTAGTAAGTAGTTATCATTGACTTACAAACCACATTGACGTGTTTAATCTTTTCATATTTTCACACAAACAGTCAGTCAGCTACAATGTAGGACCAGGCACATGTATACATCGGTCTAAGTTGCCATACCTCATTAGCACAAAAGATGAACACCGAATTGATAAAAGTAGTTACTTAAATAGTAGTAATATGTAATATATATGCTCATAGTGACTGACTTCAAGAGGTATATCTTGGAGTTCTAGTGAAAAGTAGTGACCAGTGGAGTTCAACCAGGTCTGTTGTGGGATAGTAACTCACTGAAGACAATGGTGGATGTGTCACTCAATTTCGTGAATTAGTTGAAGTTAGACATTAACACTGTTGGATACCAGCCGGATCATTGGTCTAGTGGTTAAGTGCTCTCGCGCGCGCAACCAGTAGGTCCAGGGTTCGAATCTCGCGGGGTGGGCGAGGTTGTGGACGTGCATTGCTGAGAAGTTTCACAATAGGGCGAAATGGCCGTGCAGTGCTTCCAGGTTCTTTCTATGGTGTTTGTCTAGCTTCAACTGACTCATGATCTTAACCATTGAAATTACTATAAAGGAAAGATTGTATATAAGGAAATAGTACGGCAAGAAAGAATTAGTTCATAGAAAAAAAGGTATGAATCAATTTTAATCTCACTGTTTAAGGGAAGACAAAGAGTGTATACACCTACACCATTGTGATCGATTCTAAACCATGTCACCCAGAGTCTCCAACCATTGGTTACAATAGTCGAGCGGCCCTCATCCCAACCAAGTAGTCTGCATCTACCAACATGGCTCAGACTAGAAGTTAGTAACTTCAAGCACTGATGCCACGTTTTGGTTTGACCGCCCCTAACTTCCAGCCGTCTCCAACACTAATCAGCATTGTGCGTCCTGGTAATCGGTGTTCAGGCATACGTAACATGTGGCCTTACCATCTCAGTAGATGAAGATTCACAACCTCATCAACTGATTTACCATCATTCCTTGATATCATGAGTCTAACCTCACTATTACTTACCCGGTGATCGCAGAAAATTCCAGCAATATTTCTAAGGCATTTGTGGTCAAATACTAGGAGCTTACGAGTATCTTCAACTCTTAATGACCACGTTTTGCAGCCGTATAGTAAAACAGAACTTAGACACTACTGTATATTTGAGTAAAGCCTCATAAGGTTCTTACTAAAAACAATACTGTTCTAATTTAATAGACTCATCGAGGAATTTCTGGCCTTAACGATTCCTTTGAATGCCTGTGTAATTTATTCTAACATTTGCACAAATAGATCAATCTGATCTTTTCCGTTATCGTGTACGCATTTATTTAAGCCTTTGAATTACCCACTTGCAACGTTGATCATTTATACATGGGCATTTGTGTTCGTGTGTCGTTAATTACCAGCTTAATTCGTTGCCTGTCTGCAACTTTCTTTTATATTTCCGGATATATATAATAGGTCACACTTGATAAAATTGTGTAGGTCAGGAGGTTTTTCTCCATATTGCATCTCTTCCCTACAGTTTTATTCCTTGAAATCAGTCGTTTAATCATGGAGCTTTGGTTGTTCTACTGAACAGCATCATTATGACAAACTTCTGATGGAAATAGGCTATACAAATTTCTCTGCATATGACTGACAGTTTGTCTTACAGATTCTAATCTTGGCTGATAGTTGTTGACCTTTTTTCTATCATCGTTTGCATATGCAGTTTGGTTGTTATTCCTTTTGATTTGATTTTTAATCTTACAGTTTTCCATAATTTTTCTAATTGTCAATATGTGGGGTTGTGATGATTGTTGAGTTTTTGATTTAGATCATGAGTTGGTCAACGTTAAATCACCACTAAAAACCTGGAAGCACTAGAAGGCCGTTTCGTCCTAGTATGGGACTCCTCAGAAGGTCATTTTTAACATGGTTGTTGTTTACTAATTAACATGATTCCTAGACTTCTAAAATTTTTGTAGTGTTTTTTAGCATCTACTCAGTCAGAGATTTTCACATTTTCCCAGTTGAATAGGTGTTCATAATTTTGAGCACGTACTGATATGAGTTAAAATACATCGTAGTTTTTGGCAGTCATTTAGCGTTCATGTAGAAACAATTGAAGAAGATGATCACTCTTTTTCATATAGCATTTATCACAATTAGAGCAGTCTAGTTTGTCGATGATATTCGAATATTTTTCATTTTTACCATTACATTCTTTGGTTTGTACAAGATTGATGTTATCCAAGTGTTGTCCAGGAAGTCTATGAAAGCTTTACGATAAGATCACTCGGTTTAAAGAACGAAACTAGGTCAGAATTATCTACCCAAACTATAAATCTTCCCCTCCATCTCAGAATAATATTACTCTCCATAACATTACGCAGTTCATAGCTAATGAGAAGCCTTGAAGTAGAATAAATTCCTCTTAATCCTAAACTTTCACCAATCTTAATATGTCAAAATTCATTAAAGGTAACAGTTGAACGGGAATCTAAATTCAAGGAATATTTATATGGAGCATCTCTTAAAACTAGTCGTCTCTGTTAGGACTCCCTGTTACGACAAAACGCCTGATTAAATAACATATAAGAAACTATAGGCTTATAAGTACATACTAATAAGCTGAAGAATACAAAATTCCTTTAGCAAACTTAAAAAATCGTTTCGTGTGCTTGAAGCCGTTGTAATGTGTGCTACTCATATCGACGTAAGTAGTATATAACTCTAGTCAGGAATAGAATGTCTGGCAGTAGAAGGTCGGGAAGATCGAGAAAGTAAGAACGGGAACAGAAGACAATTGGTATGGAAATACAGGAACAGTGAAGTTTATGGTGATTGATTGACATTTTGTAAATGAAGTATTTATTGTATGATTCTCAGCGTTTACTAAAATATTCTGTAATATCGTATTCAGACACGTTCGGTTGTCCTCACTAGAGTTCTTGTCCACTACACTGTCACTAATAAAATTGCTGATAGATGACTGACAGCTGAATTAAATACTCGGAATAATCTGGTTTTTCCAAAACTGCTTATTAGATAAATAGAACACCTATATCGTACATTATGAAAATAAATATCCCTATTTTGGAAACAAATAAAATTAAACTTCACCCGATTGCATAAACTAGTGGCTACCTGAACTCAGTAGCTAAATGGATAAAGTTGTTACATTTGAAGTGAATGGTACTAAGTTCCAGTTACGGAGTATACATTAACTCTGGGATTCAGGTACATTCAATTGATGAGGAACACAACTCGCTTTCTTGATTCCACTACTAGTTACTATCCATCTTTTCATGAAACGCTTGTGACTTAATGACAATATTAAGGTAATTCGCCCACAATGCACATATATAAAAAGAACTAATGATCATTTACAGTCTTAAATAACAATGAGAAAATTTAAATAAACAATATAAACGAATTCATTAGTTCTGACAGAGTACTTCAACTATCCTTTCCAATTATTTCAACAAATTTAATGCAACTACTCATATATACACAGCCATTGCTTCACAGATCTTAAATATTTTAGAAACTATCATTAAAATATAATCTAACAGTTAATTTATTGAAATGATCAAATAGTGAATTAGATGAATAAAGCAACAACAACAACAACAAAAAGAAGAAGAAATACTGTTCAATAGAATATATGCTACTTCTTTACAGATGTCTTCGGTGCTACTTTTTTTGGCTTCTCCACTTTACTTTCCTTTTTACAGTTCCTGAAATATATAATTAAAGTATAAAATTTACTAAATAAGAACTTTCGTCAACATTAGAATGATTAGTTTGATAGAAATTGAGCACCGAGTATAGAGAAGACATTTTATGTGAAAATTATTATGTTTGAAATAATCTTTGAGAATCCCTTCAAGAAGCTAGTCACTAGTAAGCACATGGTAATTATCAGTATATGGTTGTGGAGATTATTCTGTTTTTTTGATTGAGATCATGAATCGATTGATGTTAGACCACCACTGAAAACCTAGAAGCACTGGATATCAATCAATTCATGATCTCGATCAAAAACAGAATAATCTCCATAACTAGATGGTGGTTGGAGGTAGTCGACAGGAAACCCTGGACACGGGTTTCGCGCTACTTGGCACTCGTCACCATGGTGTACCTGTAATCTTGAGGGAACTTACCCGTATACAGCCTCTGCCAGAGGAGTCCTACTCACTACATTCTCGTGGCATTACTGTTATTTACGTAAATGAGAGGACAAAAAGCGTTCGATCTGCACTAATAAGAACTCGACACACATGACATTGATCATCACCCAGTGATCGATCAACTGTAATTAGTCTCCACAACCCTATACTGATAATTACCATGTGCTCTTTAGTGACTAGTTTCGTGAGGGAATTCTCGGAGTTCTAGTGAAAAGACGTGACCAGTAGAGCTAATCCGTGTTAGGTAGAAACAGGTGTCTACCTCAATACATTGGAAGATGGTTGCGCAACTTCGTGGATTGGTTGATGTTAGACACTAGCACCACTGGATGCCGGCCAGCTCAGTAGTCCAGTAGCTTAAGCGTTCGCACGCGAGACTGAAGGCCCTGAGTTCGAATCCCGCGAGCGGGATCGTGAGTACGCACTGTTGAGGAGTCCCACAATAAGACGAAACGGCCATCCAGCACTTCCAGGTTTTCAATGGTAGTCTATCATCATTTGATTCATGATCTCAATCAAAAACCTAACAATCTCCACAACCGTATACTGATAAAATCAAAATCATCAAAGAACTATATAGCTTTTTATCAATCAAACCTATACTGTATTAATTCGATCATATTTGGATGTTGATTTTAGTAAATAGGATAACATGATTCAGTTAAATGCAAATCATGGAAAAAGTTCACAATGTGATACGAATTGTCTGTGTGTGTGTGCTAGTATGTATGTGTAAAATAGAGTTATTAATGAATGATATTCGGTGTTAATATGTTTCTTTATATGAAGGAAAAATAAAAGTACAAGTTGAAGGTTGGAAAACTGTTTCTGAATCATTGATGTGCATCAATGCATCATATGCATAATTGGCGAGACTCTAATTTATGGACGAGCCAATCAGAGGCGTTTTAGAGATTCCAAGGTTACGGCGCCAACTTAAGTGCTTAATGCTAACCTACTGTCGTTTTACAAGGAATTTTGTACAAAACGTGATAATTGAGCGACTATAAAAAATAAAATGGCGAGACTATAATTTGTGAACAAATCAATCAGGTATAAGATAACAGATCTCGGATTTTAACGCAAAAGCCTTTCACCCATTTGGCTAAATAGATTTCTGGCATTATAGCTGATGTCAGTTCGTGATGGAAACCCCATATATAATTCTTAAATAAGGCAAATTATGACAATTATCGCGAACTGGATAATTGAAGCACCAGTAACACTGGCTGCAGCCAGCTACTACAATATATACGGATGTTTGGAGAACGTACAGGCTACTACATAGGCTAGTTTATGTGCATCGTGTCGTTATCCACAAGTGGCATTTTGTGAACTCAACAACCGAAGTGCACATAAACAATATTGAAACTATGTAGTCGAGTCTGAATGAGTTTTTGCGATGTTATCATGGCTCCAGATGCCGACTATTCTGTAACCGTATGAATGATTTCGTCTACTGCATGCATTACGATTTTAGGATCTCTGAAACTCTTTTTAACCTTGACAATTTTTTGAACCACATATAAGAAGTGTATCCACTTTATTTCTTTGGTTTTGTATAATATATTTTTACTCTATACTAACTGTTTGCTGATTGGCTAATGTTCTCAAGGTCACTTAGGATTCGTTCAAAGGTCGTCCATAAATTAGAGTCTCGCCCTCTTCTGCTATCAATCTTACTTTATATGTGTTCAAACCTTTCTGAAGTATTTTGGTTCTTTCAAAATTAATCTTGTGTCTTGTTTCTAATGCATGTAACGCTATCGCAGACTTATTCTCAAGTTTCTTTAAGTCATTATTATTATTATTATTATTATTAAATGAACAAATCTAATAGAAAGTTTCATAATCTAAATCATGTAAGTGTATAAATGAACTTACTGAAATACTTTACGTGTACCGGATTTTGCTTTGATTTCTGCTTCAGTTGGTCTTTTTAAATCAATTTTTGTAGTACATGATACATCTTTATGAATAAGTAATAGATCTGGAGATAATGACATTTTTTCTTCATGATCTGTAATTATCATTGCACCTAAAATAAAGATAGTATAGTGAATGAGAACACTAGTAGGGACAATCAAACGTATGTGAATGGAACATTACAGGACTTTTTCTATTGAGATCATGAACCGATTGATGTTAGACCACAATTGGAAACCTGAAAGCTGTTTCGTCCTACTGTGGGACTCCTCAGCTATGCGTATCCACAATCCCGCCGCTCAGGATTCGAACCCAGGGCCTTCAGTTTTGCACGCGAATGCTTAACCTATTGAATCACTGAGCCTGCATCCAACAGTGTTAGTGTCTAACATGATCTCAATCAAAAACTTAATAATCTCCACAACCCTTATACTGATAATCAACATAACAGAATTGTTTCGTAAATATCTGAGAACCATATAGTAAGTACTTCATTTACAAAATGTCAAACTATTGTATCAGACTTTGTGGTGTTTTCGTCTCCATACTAATCACTATCTGTTCTCGTCCTTTTCTTGTTGATTTTCTCAAACTTCTGCCACCATACATTCCCACTTTAGATTAGAGTGATACATACTACTTATATCTGTCGATATCAGTAGCACACACTGTTATAGTAGAATTAGATAAAATTATTATAACCAAGTGTTTGGTTCTGAAAAGATGGGGTTGTTTTTCAGCTATAATCACTTGGAATACTGATTGATTCATTAGTTATAATGATTAATATGGTTACATGGACTGACGGTTTTGAGGATCATTTTCACATATGGAATTTAACATGTATGGTCACGATCATGAAATGTAATTCTATTTATGCATTTACTTCTGAGAATTTGATTTCAAACAATGTTCAATTTAATAAAATCACTCAGTGTACTGCTTGTGATGATATTGTCAGTTGATGTTTTAAAACATCTAGGAGTCTACATAACTCACAATAAAATCTAATACCATAGTATTACAGATGAAGTGTCAATCAAAAAATAATTGACAATACATAATGTTCATTGTATTTAGTTAACTGTATTTCTGGTTTCTAATTTTAGTTCCTAACAAGTATACTTGGATTTGTGCCAGAACAAAATATGGCACAAATCTAATGAATTCACTGACAAATGGACTGAGCCATATTGGTAGGTGTAGACTATCTGGTTGGAATCCGTGAGATGATAGCAACCAATGATTAGAGACCTTGAATGACATGGCTGAAAATTGTTTGCAATGGCGCAGATGCATTCATTATTTGTGTTCTCCCAAATTCTAATCATCTGAATTCCGCATGTCCCCTTTATCCTCATCCCAAATTTTTTTACTGGATTATACTCTTTGAATAACATCTTCAAACCCTTAACGTTTCCGATTATTGCTTATACTTTTACTACCTGTACTACTATGGAATTTGAATCGACAATTGTATGTGTGTGCTAATGTAGTATAGCAACTTGAACTAATATATATGTACGTACAAAGTTCTACGTTGTTGCTGACTGGCTTAAAAGTGAGTTCTGGTTAATTGTCTACAAATTTCATAGATTTTCTATGATTCATAGAAGATCAAAGATTTAAATACTGATCCTTCTAGAACATGAATTGTTCAATAAAAGTGATTATTCATCATTACCTATCTAATCACTTGATTTGAAACCAAATTATTTAAACACTCAAAGTTTCATATTTAAAGAATGTATACATTCATCATAAATTTACCCTTAATAACACTTTTATACTTTTTAAAACATAACATAGTACTTTATTGAATAATTACAATAAACTAATTCATAGACTTACCACTTTTACTAATTACAAATGGTAATTGATAAACATCAATCTCTTTAGTTATTGATAAGTCAAATAGTATAAAGAGTAAAGCAATTGAATATAACATAATGATTCTGTTTTAAGGAGAAAAGAAAAAAAATAGGAGATAGTTAGTGTATGTTTTAAACAAGAATAAAACATAAATAATAAGTAAGTTGTTTTTTTTTTATGTTTCGTAACTCAATATTAGCTGCTTCTTCAGAGTATATAATTAATCAAATCAATATTAATTCTTGAGTTGGTTATTTATTTTCTGAAGAATTAGCTTAAATGAAGTTACGAAACGTCAAATAAAACTTATACAATGATTGAAATGTATGTATTTTACCAAATTGTAAATGATAAATCTTCTATGTTATAGAGATTACTAGTATTTATATTAAATAAATAATTTATGATTGAATTATTCCATTATTGACCATCATGTCAGTGTCAACTGATTTTTTGATATCTATTTTTTTGTCAATTTATAAGTGTCAAAATCTAAATTCGTAATGAATTACATAACCGTCATGTTGTTTCCTTAATTGATAGCATACAATTCATTTGTCAGAGATATTACTTACTTACTTACGCCTGTTGCTCACAATCGAGCGTTCTGCAACCCACTCTGTGCTCAGCCTTCCTTTTCAGTTCTATCCAATTTTCGTTCATTTTTCTCATGTCTATCTCCATTTAAAGGCGTAATGTGTACTTTGGTTTTTCTCTTCATCACCTTTGGTCTTGAGTATTCCATGTGAGGGCTTGTCTTGTGACGTAGTTCGGTGCTTTCCTCAATGTGTGTCTTATCCACTTCCAGCGCTTCTTCCTGATTTCTTCCTCCACTGGGATCTGATTTGTTCTCTCCCACAGTAGGTTGTTGCTTATAGTGTCCGGCCAACGGATCCGAAGTATTTTGTGTAGACAACTGTTATTAATAAACACTTGTATCTTCTGGATAATGAATTTCGTGGTTTTCCAGGTTTCCGCCCCATACAGTAGAACTGTCTCGACATTTGTATTGAAAATCCTCACCTTGGTGTTGGTTGACAGTTATTTTGAGTTCCAGATGTTCTTTAGTTGTAATTATGCTGCTCTTGCTTTGCTAATCCGTGCCTTCAGATTTGCATCAGATCCACCGTGTTCATCAATAATGCCGTCCAAGTATGTAAATGCTTTACATATTCCAGATCTTCTCTCTCAAGTGTGATTCGATCGGTGCATGTTGTGTTGTATTAGAAAATCTTGATGTCTTCATGATCCAGTCGATCACCAGGAAAAAGAGAAAGGGTGAGAGTAGGACACCTTGCGTGACACTGATCTTTACCTCGAACAAGTCTATCGGCTGTCCTCTATGCACGATTTTGCAGTTTAATCCATTATAGGAATTCTGTATGATATTGGCTATCTTCTGAGGCACGCCATAGTGTTGAATAAGCCTCCTTAATGTTGGAGGCTTCGCCTTGATCCCCTCTGTGGCTACTGACGGTTCCATACCCGTATTGAGGAGGAGCGTTGGGTATGCGGTTAACCATCTCGTCCTGTAGAAAACTATTTTGCTAAAAAACACTAACCAGAAAAAAGTGTTAATATTACGAATGATTGATAGAAGCTAGTTTTATGTGTTGATAATGGATATTTAAAGGAGAAGAATTGTATGAATTTAAGACTTGCTCGCTAGAATACATGTCGGAAAAACGGATAACTGTTAGTATTAACTGACATTAGTAGATAGAATCATAAAATCTTCTCCGTCAGGTGTGATTGGATTGTTGCATGTTGTATTGTATCGGAGAATCTTGCTTATCTCTTTGTGTATATTGAGACCTACTGCTGCTGAGGCTGCTGCTACACTGATCATCTGCGAAGTTTAGATCGTGCAGTTTCATCCTAGCTGTCCATTGTATCCCGTGCTTCCCCCCAGATGTTGACATCTACATGATCCAGTTGATTAGCAGGAGAAAGATAAAGGATGAGAGTAAGCAACCTTACCTCACGCCGGTCTTTACTTCGAACGAATCTGTAAGCTATCCTGTCAAAGACGTTAGGAATCCTTAATTCACTGACCTCATCATGATCAATTACATATATATTTTAATTGACTTGAAAAATAGAAATTAATCATGGTAGTAGATATTTAAAAGTATTTTCATTTATTAGGGATCTACAATAAAAATATGGTTTTTGAACTATTTTATACATAAACTAACACTTTATATGATATTTGACGAAAATCAGCTCATTATGGAAATTAAGTCTGAGTTGGACTTCAGTGTTGTATACCTCTCTTAATTCAATCAACTGATGATATGGTACAGGATTCATTCAATAACATTAATCAATAATTATTTAATGATTTTCAATGGTTAAGATCATGAGTCTGTTGAAGCTAGACCACCACCATGGAAAATCTGCAAGCACTGGACGGCCGTCTCGTCCTATTATGGAACTCCTTAGCAATGCGCATCCACGACCTCGCCCCATTAATCAGTAATATAAACAAAGTTGGATGATAATACGGTTAACCGTTTAACATGAAATAAAACTATGTTAATGATCAGCATCCCTCAGATATCAGCGCACAGATAGCGATCTTGACAGTGAAGTTTAGTGGTAATTATCGTGTATTCTGGCATAAGTCTAATTCATCTGTCTTGTTCACAGAAGAAGTGTGTGGGTACAAAGATGATTGACTAGTAATGGAGTCAAGGACGTGTATTGCGTTCCATCTGAGACTCAGAATTCAGATGCTCCTGCATTCTAGTGTTGATTTTCGAACTGAGATTTGAACTCAATGCCTATCTTTTCAAATGCACAACATGTTTTCTACTGAGCTAATGAGTCCCGACAGTCATCAGCTTGTTCAATGGGGATGAAGTCTTATAGTTCGCTTGCAAGTGTTTGTATCTTTTCGTTGTCGAATACTTGTCAAACAATGACAATATTGAGACAATTCCCTCACGATCTATGCATCAGAAATGAGACCGATAGAAATCCAGTCCTCAACATTGAGAACGTTGAGTTGATTTAAATACTTGCAAATAATTGATAAAAAACCACCAACTTTTGAAGTGTATTGTTTAACTGCCACCATTCTCTTTCAAACAGCTGCATCTAACTCCAACTTTATGATTGCCATTAGACTTAAAGAGATGTGAGGCAAGCCCTAGCTTCGAATCCTGAAGGGTAACAGAAAAGAGGAAGGCCAAAGAACACATTACGTCGGGAAATAGAAGCGGATATGAAAAGGATGAATAAGAACCTGAAAGAGCTGGAAAGGATTGCTTGGGACAGGGTTGGATGGAGAATGCTGGTGAGTGGCCTATGTTGCTTCACTATGAGTAACAGGTGTAAGTAAGTAAGTTCAAGAAATGTGGAAGAACATGATCTACCACTCCTAATCGATACATGTAAGTTCATAAATTTTGTAATATCACTTCCTGAAGAGTTCACCGATGCAGCTGAATCCACAGGATGTTTTCAGCATGCGATACAAGGTGTTTTCACAGGCCAATCTCCCAAAACAATGTAAGTGTCTATATTAATAAAATGTAGAATATAATGGTTAACTGAAAGATCACCTTATATTCTTATACTTTGAGAATCAGATGGATAAAGGTAATGAAGTACAGTACTTTCTTTTCCTTAATACGGATCAAGTCAAATTGACTAGTATTTTCCTAACTAAAGTTGGTTTTCATAAAACGAAAAAAACCAACAACAAAAATTTATTTCCCACCCAAATTATGGCCTCGTATATAAATCTAATGTCCATACTAATCTCTATCACCTTCATTCAGCGTGTAATTTCTATACTGCTCTATAGATTTCTGTAGTTGTTCAAGCATTCAACTAATAATCAAAATCTGTTTAGAATAGTTACAAATAATTTATCAAGGATAGTTACTGTAGTGACAGAAATACATCTAAATTCTCATCACCTTTTGCGGAGAGTATGGTGAATTGAAAATGTCATAAAAAGTATATGACATTTAAACGAATATTCGTCAAGATTAGAACGAATAGTATGACAGATATTGGGCGTCGAGTATAGAGAAGTCATTATATATGAAAATTATATTTGAAATAATCTCAGCAATTGAAATTTAAATAATTCCAACGTTTCGTCCAGTTAACTTGTCTGGACTTCTTCAGGGTAATAATCAAAATTAATTTCTTTGATGATTTTTATTTCGATTATTATCCTGAAGAAGTCCAGACAAGTTAGCTGGACGAAACGTTGGAATTGTAAAACTGATATTTATTGTCATCGTTGCTATCATTGATCAGTGCACACCATTGGATAATATTCACTGTGATCCCCTTCTTTTTTCTTTTGAAAGATGTTTTTATGATCCTGGATCCGTGAGATTCTCATCTCATAAGTGCAGTTCGTACTTCTTTGGACAGCGTTAGAGCGACTCCCTGAGGGTGCGGAACATCTTCTTCGTGACCACAATACACCAACATGTCTCCCGAATCTGCCCTTTTCAGTCCAGCTTAAATCCAATGGGTTTTACTTGTTCCGAGCACCATAAAATCGTATCTCCTCATTTCCATAACTATTTGACTAGACTATCCAGTCTCCCACATTATTCGAACACTCCATGTACATATATTAATTGTTGTGCTGGTTGTTAGAAGGGAATTGGTCTAGTGACTTCCGAACAATATCGTCTTTCACCATGAGATGTCATAATTCTTCTGAATGAAGATCGTTGAAGTTCCAGGGCACATTTTAAATGGTTTAATTTGTTTATTCTGATTAGTGTTTTTTAACAAGGTTATTTTCTTCTAGATGTGGTTGCTGACCCCATGTCCAACCCCCTCCTTTACCCGGGCTTGAGACCTACAGTAGCCTTAGAAGAACTATAGGCGAAGTTAAGGTCTTTACACGTTAAAGTATAATTTATACCATGTGGATTCTTTTACTGTATCCAAAATCTGTATTTAACAAGGGAATTATCACCACTACCTTAGTGATTGCTGATTTAATGAACTATGGCATAAAAATTTCTGGTCTTTGAATTTCGTGACTAAGAACGTTATTCCCTCAAAAATTCCATAATCTAGATTACATTATACGACTGTACTTCAAATCATTTACTGTCCTCTTATGAATACTGACAATGCTTTTTGATGGTTGACAAATCATTACGTTCAGTAAAATATATGGATATTCAAAAATAGGTATAGCACTTAATCAATGAACTGATCATTTTTTTTTTTAGTTTCAATGAGGTTAGCCGATCTACGAAATGATCATACTCATATGTTTGACACTTTGTAACATCATCTCTCAGAAGATCCCCATCATTAAAGAATTCATTGGTTAAACAACACGCTAACCAAACAAACTTCTTGTTCATAACCATATTGGTTCATAATTATTTAACATACGAATAATAATGTTCTTAATTTGTTATCATTTAGTGAATTTCCAAATAAATATTAGATGATTATTAGATTTTGAATCATTTGACTATTAAATATACATTCACTTCTACCCGAAGTTTGTGCTGATGATGTCGTTCATAAGAACGATGAAAGCACCACAACCAAATCATCGAGTTCAGAGAACAAAACTTCACCAAAAATTAATTCATTGAATTTACACAAAAGAAGTTTAAACATTAACTTTTAAAAGTGATTAGTTCCTTTGATAAACCTCGATGGTGTGATGAGAAGATGAAAATTATCAGAACTATGTGAATTCCAGTATTCACTCAGAAACTCAAGTATTGTGAACATCCTTAAAGAGCTTACAGATGAGAAATACATTAGTGCCAATAACATTGAATTAGTGACTTAGACGATTGGTAAGAAACCACTCTTGAACAAGTTCCAATTCAACGAAGATACATCCAACTATGTACTATAGAACAGAGTGGCTAAGGCGATGGAGATGACATTTTATCCAACTAACCACCGTCTATCAATTCACCCATGGTTTATGATGATTCCTCGACTAAAGAATAGGTTACTTGATTTTGTCACATCCATGTGATAAGAAGATGAAGATTGTCAGAACCATGTGATGATATATTTCGAACAATCTAATCACACACATATACATGTTAAGCACATCTGTATATAAACATAAAAGGTCAACTAGACTAGAAATGGAGGGTATGAGGAGACAAGGGAAATAATGTGAAAACAATTTGTAACCTCATCACTTTGGATAATAAGCTAATATTACCAATGTAGATTTAAGCTGAGAATAAACTATTTCTGAATGCACAAAGCGGGTTTGAATTTTCGTATGACTACGGCTTCAATAAACCTTAGTATACGCTCTTTTACACTTATGTACAACACCACAAAAGTCGAGTTATGACCTATTTCAATTATGTGTTTAGCAACAGAGGATGATGAATGTTTATCCTGGACTTTTATTAGGTTATTTGATTCTATTTATTACTAATCTTTGTTGATAATCTTTATCTTCTTATTACACTGTTGAAATTAACTTCTTAAGTTCTACATTATCAACAATCAGTATTTTCACAGCATACAAGTTAACTTATCATCCATTTCATAGGATTGAATTGAGATTATATAATCTAGATTCAAATCTTCAAAGTCATTTAGAATGAATCTCTTTAGGAATTGTAATACTTTATGGAATTTTCACACATTCAGAAATAAATGTTACACTTGATAATCATAATAATAATAGTTGAAATCATAAGTCAATTGAAGATAGATCACCATGGAAAACCTGGAAGCACTAGACGGTCGTTTCGTCCTAGTATGGGACTCTTCAGCAGTGCTCATAATAATAATAATAATAATATCTATTGTAATCGCATTGCTAGAAAAAACAATAAATTAGGATAGTGTATGTTAACATTAACCCTATAAAACTGAAAAAAACTCAACAAATACAAGGTATTTTAACAAATATTGAAATTACATCACCCTTAAGTTAGTTTAAATATTACAAGTACAAATAACAGTCACATTTTTAATTGATTTGGAAACATTTATATTGATAAATCAATATATCAATATATCTACATTATTAATAAAATCTATTCTGAACGGGTTTTGTGGAGATCATAGTAATTTCAATAGTTGAAATCATAAGTCAGTTGAAGATAGACTACCGTGGAAAACCTGAAAGTACTGGACAGTTCATTTCCAATTTGATAAATTGAATGTTTGGACAGAGTCGTTTTAAACAAAGATGGATAGTAGCTAGCAATGGAATCCAGTTTGACGCGCGTTTTGTCCTATTTGGGACTCGTCAACTGGATATACCTGCAACTCAAAGTTGATGTTCACTCTGGGACTCCGATCAAGTACCGTTCGCTTCAAACGCCATCGCGTTATCTGTTTAGCTACTAAGTCTAGAAATGGGACGAAACGCGTGTGCACTGCTAGTCATTATCCATCTTTGCATATAATGTTTGTGAATTAAGGCAATATTGAGGCAATCCTCACAGTATGCACATATGCCAATAAGAGGTTGATCAATTGCAATCCTAAACATCAATGGGAAGATTCAAGCAAAACAATACCAAGTGAATTTAGAGGAATTTTGAAATTAAAGAGTTATATCTAAATTGGTTTTCCAGTTGGAATCCATCAAACAGCTACTTCAGTCGTATTGTGGTATATGCTACTTACGTCTGTCGACATAAGTAATATGTAACACTAATCAGAAATAAAACACCTGGCAACAGAAGGATAAGAAGATCTAACTCAAAAAAAATAGAAAGGAATTGAGAATTGAAGGAATCAAGAAGGGTGTAAAGAACAATTGATGAAGGATTTGCAAATGAAGTTCTTAATGTATGATTATCACATTTTATGAAAGAACTATGTAATTTTACATTAGACAATAAAATGGTTTTCCCCACCCAGTCTTCATTCATTACAGTTCACTATAGTAGATGTAAGCCGTGTTGACGAGAAGCAGTATAGGTAGATTGGTCAACTGTGATTCAAATGGTTACTTCCACTAAGAAATATGTTATGCACTTTCAGTCGATGAATAACACTAATTTTTAGACTATCTGAACTAACATATATCATGTCAAGCATTTAATTTACTAGCATATATCTATACACAGATATAACTAGTTCATCTCTGATACAGAGAATATTTAACTGGTCATTCATCATACAATTACATTACTGAAGTCGACTATACAATAACGATAAGTTTCACTGTGAAATATGCAATTCACTACTCCTGATTAACGATTCACAACTTATTGGTCACTGCATAGTGACCAATTTCATGATGTCCAAGTCCTTCTAATTGTTTTCTAAATTCTATGATCAACTTGCTGTGTGAACATTAGCCTAAGTGACCCGACGTCGTGTGATCTATCTCAACATATTAGATAATCAGAGTTAATCGACAGGAAACTGTGAATCCAAGTTTCACGCTTCTTTGAATTCATTATTCATGATACTAATAACTTTTATGAGTTCCTGAGTACATTAAACCGAATTTCATTCATCTTATTATGATTTCATAATTGCAGTATGTTTATCAAGAAGTTGAACAATAGTAAGTCTGTAAGCACGAACTAGACTGTTAATCTAACCTCAACTAATTTCTAATCCTTCACTATTATATGTTACCGACTTACAACACTCATACAAATTACTCAACAACAACAAAAAAAAAACAATAATTAAGAAGATTGTCAAAGATCATACTTATTGTTGATCTACTGAAAACTATCAAAGAACACAATAGAAAGTCATTTAATACAATTTATTTCTTCTTATTAAATTGTTTATGCAAATTACAACCAGAAAATATAATCTAACAATAAAGATAATTATCCAATAATTGAATGGAAATTTTCATTTTGAAAAATCAATTATTTTTTCTTCTCTTTTTTAGTCGTTGCTTTTACACTCTCTGTACTTTCATCACCTTCAATTTCCTCATCACATACCCTTGAGAAGAAAAAAAACAAACAAAAGTATATTCACAAAATATCCAACAGTGATTAAACAATGAATTAACTACATCTTATTTCACAGTCTATTCATAACACCACTATTAATTAAATTCACTTGGTATTGTTTGGCTTAAATATTCCCATTGAAGTTTATGACTGCAATTGATCAACCTCTTATTGGAATATGTGCATGTTGTGTGGATTGCCTCGATATTCCCTTAATTTACAAGTATTATAAGCAAAGATGAATAGTGGTTGGCAATGGAATCCAGTTTGACACGTGTTTCATTCTATTTGGAACTCGTCAACTGGATGTACCTACATCTCAGACTTGTTGATGTTCACTCTGGGACACAAACTCAGTACCGTTCACTTCAAATGCCATTGCGTTATCTACTTAACTACTGAGTTCTGATAACCACTTACTTGTGCAATGAGCTGAAGTTTAATTCATTTAGTAATGTTTACTTGCATCTTCCCATTGAGGTTTGAGACCGCGATTGATCAGTCTGTTATTGGAATATGTGTATATTCTGTGAATTGCATCGATATTGCCCCAATTCACAACCCTTATAAGCAAATATGGATAGTGCTTAGCAATGGAATCCAGTTTGACACGTATTTCATCCTATTTGGAACTCGTCAACTGGATGTACCTTCAACTCACAGGTCAGGCAACACAATACCTCTAAAATTCCTATACTCAGTAACAAATATTCATTATGGATTTTATAACTTACACTCTCATTAAACGAATTCCTTTCTTGTCATTTTTCTCTTTTACATTTGGTCTAGAAAAGTCGATATCGGTTTCGCATATTTCATCTGTCACTGTTAAAGTCAATTTATCATTTAAAGTATAATTATATCCATTAATGTTTAACAACATAGAACCTGTATATCAAAAAAGTAAGAAAAGGAATTAATATTAATTTGATGTTAACTACTGAATGTGTTTTAAGTAGTCAACTTGATTGATTCTTCATTAGAAATTTCAATACTATTATTTCTGTCCTAGTATAGGACTCCTCACCAGTACGCAACCACGATCCCGCCCCCCCCCGCGAGATTCGAACCCAGAAGCTATCAGTCTAGCGCTCGAGCGCTTAACCATTAGAACATTGAGCTGGTATCCAACGGTGTTCATTTCTAACTTCAATCAATCCACGATATTGCTGAGGAAGAAACGGTCGTCTAGTGCATCCAATTTTTCAATGGTGGTATAACATTGATCCATTCATGATATCAATGTAAACTCTCCACTATCTACAACCCTATACCCATATTAGTAATCTCTTTTTAATATGTTTCCTGGAGATGGATACTGATTCAAAACATTCTACCTAATTCAAAATGCTATCATTCAGATTCATTCATATTAATCGCTGAAAAATTTCCATTATTATCAAGAACACTATTATATGAACAAAGAATATTCTTTTCGATGAATTTCTCATCAGGTTCTACAATTATATATATCCAAATTAATACTCTATAAAATCGGCCAGGTTTAATGCAGAGTACATCATTTAAGTCTTATAACATATGAATTAAGGATTGTTATTTGTCATGGAGGTGAAGATTAGTAGCTCAGGTGGATGATTTTGATGGAGTTTTGTCCTCTGAATTGGATGATTTGGTCTTGGAGCTTTCATCGTTCTTCTGAACGGCATCATCATCAGCATAAACTTCCACCTCAGTTACAAATCTTCTCCTCCATGACAAATAACAATCCTTAGTTCACAGATTATAAGATTTAAATGATGTACTCTGCATTAAACCTGACCATTTTTATGGGTTATTCATTTGGATATGAGATAATTATAGAGTCTCTGATGAGAAATTTATTGAAAAGAATATTCTTCATTTATTCTTATTAACTATTTTGTAATATCATTTAATACTCACCATTTTTGTCGATTATAAATGGAGCATCAAAAGTTTCATGTTTTCTGGCAATTGTTAAGCTAATTAAAGTTAAACACATCAAAGATAAACGAATCATTTCTTATCTAAAATGTAAAAACAAAACATACTTATTAAACAAAGAAGAAGAAGAAGAGGGGGAGGACAAGAAGAAGAAGAGGGGGAACAAGAAGAAGAAGGAAAAGAGGGAGGACAAGAAGAAGGAAGAAAAGGAGGAGGTGAAGAAGAGGAAGAAGAAGAAGAAGAGGGAGAACAAGAAGAAGATGAAGACTAAGAAGAGGCAGAAGATCAAGACGAAGGAGAAGAAGGAGAAGAAAAAGATGAACAACAATAACAACATAAACATATTGTAGAATTGAAAAATTTACACTTTCAAATTTACATTCTCAAATAGGAATTATGCATAGATAAATGGTTCATTATTTATAATTACATAATCATTAGATTTTAACCAATTAAAATGTATTTAAATCAACTGAATTGATTTCCCACCCCCACCCCACCCCCTCATTACGAAACAATATTGATTAGATGTTTATTTGATTTATTATTTGACATAAAGGATCAAATGAATAGTACTCATATATATTCAATATATTAATAATTTAAGAAAATAGTTTAGATTATAAGTCCATTGAAGCTAGATCATGAGTCCATTGAATCTAGATCATAAGTCCATTGAATCTAGATCATAAGTCCATTGAAGCTAGATCATGAGTCCATTGAATCTAAATCATCATGAAGAACTTGGTAAAAGAAAATAAACAAATATGAATGAATATATAAACTGAAAATTATACATCAAGACTTAGGAGCTAAATGAATAACACAATTGTGTTTGAAGTGAATGATTCATAACAACAATAGTGGTTATCTTGTCTGCTTTTATAATAACAATTTTTCTGTCTTTACATAGTTGTTTTAGAGGATGCATTTCTTCATTAGATAGATTCAACAATACAGCTGTGATACTGTGGTGTGTGCTACTGATCTCGACACATATAATTTGTATGTTCAAATATATTCGGTTGTGAGATGGTGGAGAAGATTTGTAGCTTAGGTGGATGATTTTGATAAAGTTTTGTTCTCTGAGCTGGACGGTTTAGTCGAATGATGAAAGCTCTACAACTAAACCATCCAGCTCAAAGAACAAAACTTCACCAAAACATTCAATTGTCCCTACTTGATTGTTCAATAGTTCAAGCATAAAATATACACAACTCTATATCACTATTATGAAACAGTTAAATACTTTAAGTGCCCTGTTTATTACAAATAGGATGAAAATACTAGTTTAGATAATATCCATCTATATTGAAATTTGTTCAATTGTCTCTCTCCTTACCTTACTTGAGACAAATTACCTAACATTTTAATAAACTAACCTCTAAAACAGCGCTTGGATCTTGAACAGGATATTTTATGTTGGCAATAACTCATATAGTAATGTAGAGTATTATTTCATATCTATGATATTTATTATTATTGACTTATGTACATTTGAGATTATGAACCAATTAATGTTCGATCATCATTGTAAACTTGGAAGCATTGGTTGACCTTTTTGTCCAAATCTGAGATTCCTAAACAATGCACATCCACGATCTTACACGTACAAATGGCTGCTCAGTGCTTTCAGGTTTACAATGGTGGTCTAACATCAATCGGTTCATGATCTCAATCAAAAACCTAATAATCTCCACAACCGTATACTGATAATTACCATGTGCTCATTAGTGACTAGTTTCGTGAGGGAATTCTCGGAGTTCTAGTGAAAAGCCGTGACCAGTGGAACTAATCTGTGTCGAGTAGAGATAGGTATCTACCCCAGTACAATGAAAGATGGTCACGCAATTTCATGAATTGGTTGAGGTTGGACAATAACACCATTGGATGCCGGCTAAGTAGTCTAGAGGTTAGGCGTCCGCGAGCGAGACTGAAGGCGTTGGATTCTAATCCCACAGGCGGGATCTTGGATGCGCACTTCTGAGGAATCCCACAATAGGACGAACCGGTCATCCAGTACTTCCAGGTTTTTAATGATTGTCTAACATCAATCGATTTATGATATCAATCAGAAACTTAATAATCTCCACAACCCTATACAAACAATATAATTCCCCAATCCTCAACCTCACGGAAAACATAACAATTACAAATCTAAAGCCCGGTCTTTATTTCTGAAGAGAATATATAAGGGCAACTTTCAACCCTTTAGTCAACAAGAAAGCAAATAATGTGAACAATTTAATTGTGATTAAAATTCAATGAGTTCATATATAAAATAAATGGAATAAAATTAGCTGCGGAATTTGGAACTCTTTAGCTATGTCATAATGGCTACATTCAGGAGTGCTTACAATCCTGAGAGAAACAATGACACATGTGTCCGTTGTGAGCTTAGTTGTGACCGAAGTAGCTCAATGATAACGTATCAGGCCCTGAAGCTGAAGAGGGACGCATTCATGCTTTAAAGTACTCATCAGTTTATTTAAGATTACGAGCAAACCTTGTTGACGAGTGCTAAATATCACGGAACCCTTTGTTCAGAACTTTTACCGACTACCTCAAATTACATAATATTTCAACATAGTTCACTTGACGTCGAGACACATAATAATTATAGTTGTTATTATTATTGGCTTTATTATTTATTTATTTATTTTAACACATAGATATTGGTACAAGGACGTACCAAATATACATGCACCACACAGATCTCATTTGATATGTGTGAGGGATGTAATACTGCCCGGGTGCCCAAACCAAAGCAGATGCTCAAACTGATTCAATATTATATTTTTGATACAATATAGAATTCTCAGCACAAAGTATTTCGATAAGTTTCCTTATTTTTTGATCGACCCTTGCGAAAAATATCAAGTGGTCGCCAGTTAGATACTAGCAGTTTAAGAATCGACATCTGATCAATGTGTATTCTTTTCGATGCATATTACCAACAACCACGATATCTCTGATTGGGTTCTTTTGTAACTTGTACAGTGAAATGTCGTAAACTTTTCACAAACGCATCTGAATAGGTTATGAGACTAATAGGCATAATGATGTGTTAAAACAAACAAAAAGCAACAGATAACTTGTTGAAATATCCAGATGGCAGGAACAGGTAGCCCAAATATTCAAGCAGGCAGCATTGCAGCGTGATCAATAAGAGTTGATCAGTTCTGAAAGAGTAGACATATATAACATCGGTTACTTTATTGGCTGTATTTCATAGCCATAAAGCAATAGAAAGTGGATTGTAATAATAATAATAATAATAATAATAGTAATAATAATAATAATATGTCCTCATAACAATTGTTACATAATCCATCCCAGTTTAACTCCTCCTGGAGCCCCTCTGGGGTTACTGCCAGTTCCATGCCCGGATAAAGGAGGAGGGTTGGACATGAGGTTAGTGACCCCTTCCCGTAGAAACTAACTCACTAAAAAATTATTCAAATTATTTAAGTAGGTAAGTAAGTAAGTAAGATATCCCAGTTTACAGACATGACCAGCTTATTATACTTAGTAATGTTCAATGTAAGCGACATATAGGATATTAGACAGTTTGAAGTGTTCTCATTCAAAAATTGCTTTAGCTCTGCCAAAAAAAAGGTAAACTAACTTTGATTTTAAAAGTAATATATTATTTGTCACAGATTTAAGATAATCTAAAATAACCTTGTCAAAACTAGATAGTTAAAAAGAACAAACTATCTTGTCAATTTAATAGATTCTTCTTTATAATTGTTCACTCTATTGGGTAATCAATGAATCAGTCAGTCAATCAGCCAATCAATTAATCAGTCAACCAATATGTATATAACTGAAATGGTGAATAACATAATATTAGAAAACAGTTTTTGTGGATACTATAGTAATTTTAATAGTTGAGTTCATGATTCAATTGAAGCTAGACCACCATGGAAAATCTGGAAGCGCTAGATGGTTGTTTTGTCCTAGTGTGAAATTTCTCGGCAATGAGAATCCACGATCCTGCCTCGCTAAATTCGAACCCAGGACCTATTGGTCTCGTGCGCGATTGCTTAAACTCTAAACCACTAAGCCGGCATCCAACGGTGTTCATATCTAATTTCAATCAAACCACTAAATGAAGCCACCGTCCATAATTTAATTTTAACTGGGATTTTAATTGAAAAAACAACTACAGTTAATTTCTTGTTCATAGAAAACCATTGGCGATGTTTTACTTGTATCTTCCTATTTTGTTGTTTAGGATTACAATTGATTAGTCTGATATCGGTATATATGCCTCGATATAGCCCTAGGTCACAAGCTTTTTAAGCAAAGATGGTTAGTGGTTAGCAGTGGAATCCAGTTTGACACGCGTTTCGTCATATATATATACATTCAAATTTCTGGCATACATTTGATGATATTTTATTGGAATTCAGAATAACTTCATCACTTCAATAATAAAGAGAGATCACTGAAATAAATTGAAAATCTTTGTAGTTTAAGATTTTGAACTACTATCTACTATTCCAATGGTTTACTTGTTCAATTGTAATAATGTTTATATTAGGATTAGAAAAGTCTCTAGAAAGTAAATCGTTATACTAAGAAGATATGTAAACATAATTTATGTATTGTTGAAAGCATAGATCAACTGTGAAATACTTAATATTATATCATTGATTTAGAGGACTGATAAGTCCTGGTTCGGAATCGCGCTGAGCGGGATCGAAGATGAGCATTGCTGAGGAATCCCATACTAGGACGAAACGGCTATCCATTTCTCCCAGGTTTTCCATGGTGGTCTAGTTTTAATTGACTTATAATCTCAACTATAAATTTATATTTTATTGACAAATCTTTACATTTTTTTTTGTTCATTATCTTTTAACAGTATATATAGTTTCTGGCACAAAAAAAAACTTTATACAAAAAGAAGAAATAGATGGTTTATTCGATTCTGACAATATTTGGTTTGTTTATTTTGAGCTTTTCTACTGTTATGACTCAAGTGAATCATATTCCTATAAAATTTGATAAATATGGTAAGTTATCATTTCTCATTATTATTATTATTATTATTATTATTATTATTAT